CAAACGTCTTTGTTTGGGCTTCCGAAAGCGGATGATGTCAGGAAACAGTGGTTGCAGTTTACTTTTTAACTCTGTTCCTGAGCATTATAACCCCAATTTGCTATTGTGTGCTGCGCATTTTACTGAGGACAGCTTCCACAACACGAGGGAGTACAGTGCCGGATTCCCAAAAGCTTTTGTTGAAAGACAGAGCAAGGGTCGAGGTAGTACTGAAACACCGTCTAAGCTGTTCGCCAATCACAACGCATTTTGCTTTTCGGAAGGCGGACCTTCATCAAAGCCGGAACTAATCGAGCCGTTTGTGCCAGGCTGGGGAAAAAGGTATTTTGATAATGTAAATTATGTGAAAAATAATGCGTTTTTCGTACCACCAAGCATGAGAGCATGTTCTAGTACACCCCCAAAACAAAATCAAGACTTTGTAAAAGAGCATAATAGGACCCCTTTAAAGGGATAGTTCCCCTAAAAATAATTCTGTCATCATTTACTCACCCTGAATTTGTTCCAAACCTGTTTGAGTTTCTTTCTTCTGTTGAACACAAAAGAAGATATTTTGAAGAATGTTGGGTACCAAACAGTTGACGGTAGCCATTGACTTCCATACTATTGAAAAAAACAATTATGGAAGTCAATAGCTACCGTTATGTTCAAAAGAAGAAAGAAATTCATACAGGTTTGGAACAACTTGAGGGCGAGTAAATGATGGCAGAATTATCATTTTTTGGTGAATTATTCATTTAAGTTTTTCTTATGGCAATAAATCAAATAGGCTTGATAATCTGTGGACATGTGTTTGTATATTTCCAGCCTGATGCCAGGTATTTCCGAGTGGACTTACCCAACAGTGGCAAAGTGATTCTCAACAAGCCATTGGACTACGAGATCAAAACTCAGCTCCGACTGATTCTTTATGCAGTGGTAAAACACATACAAAAAATACATATTTGGTAAAATTATGAGAAAAAAAATTAACTGTTAATGTAAATATTTATGTGGCTTTAGGAGACAAACACAGATGAGCACTACAACACAACTGCAACAATAATCATCAATGTGACAGATGGGGACGACCAATACCCACAGTTCCAGCCTTGTACTCTTCTCTCAGCCAATCACAACAACCGCATATGTGCCAATTCTCTGTACACTGCCAACATCACAGAGAATGAGCAGGTAAACCCTGTGAAAAAAATGAATTTAAAATAACTGTTTTCTATTTGAATGTTTTTAAATGTATTTTATTTCTGTGATGCAAAGCTGAATTTTCAGCATCATTACTCCAGTCTTCAGTGTCACATGATCCTTCAGAAATCATTCTAATATGCTGATTTGAAGCTCAAGAAACACTTTGTTGTTATTATCAATGTTGAAAACAGTTGTGCTGCTTAATATTTTTATGGAAACAGTGATCATTTCTTTCAGAATTCTTTAATGAATATAATGTTCAAATGAACATTTACTGGAATTAGAAATCTTTTTTAGTATTATAAAAAATTTTACCATCACTTTTGATCATTTTAATACATGCCTTAAATGCATACCAATTTCCTTAAAAAAAAAAAAAAAAAAAAAAAAAAACTTACTGACCCATGGAATGTACATGTATCTGATTCCTTCTTATAGTCTGTCTATTTTTCACTCAGGACATTGTCTTGGATTTCTTTCCGGGTCCCATTCAAGCGGTGGATGGTGATGAGGGTCTCAGAACGCCAGTAAAGTACACCATCCTGTCAGGTGGTCCTCCTTCCTCTGCCATTGAACCTTATGCTCCCGGAATAAGAAACTAATTTTGATTCTATATGTGTGTCTGCTGTAATACAGGGGCAGATAATGGCAGATTCGTCATTGACAGTAATTCTGGAGAGGTGAGGTTAACCAGACGTGTGGAGAACAGACTGCTGATCCCGACACTGAGACTGCGTGTTATGGTGCGTTTGAGAGTGAAGAACAAAAATATAAAACAACAACAACAAAAATTCAAATACATTTTAAAAAGTAAAAGAAAATAAATGAATATAAAATTTTAATTATTCTGATATATAAAAATAAATACTATTTCTCCAAAAAAAAAAAAATGCTGTTTTCTTTTTGAAAGCATTGTAATGTTTCTGCTCAGGCAGCTCAGACGGATGACCCTCTGAAGTATGCAATAGCTACGGTTCTAGTGAGGGTCCTAGCAGAAAACAGGTTTCCACCACAGTTTAACCGTTCGACATACCAAGGCTTTGTCAGCGCGAGCACAAGTCCTGCCTCACTCATCATGACATATGGCAACAAATTACTTATCCTGGAGGCCACGGATCAAGACTTCACTGACGTATGTGACTCAACAAGATCACAACATTACAAAACCACATACAATCCACACAACAGTAGCACCCCAGTGTCAACATCACAAAGACACTGCTTTGACATTCACAGCATGAGTTATGTCTCTGTTTAAGCCTGAGAAACAGAGTTTGTTTTATGTTTGTGTGTTAAAGGGCTTCAATCCCAGAATGCAGTATTCTCTAAACTCCCAACACAACAGTTCTCGGCTCTTTTACATTACACAAGAAGGACTGCTTATCGCTAAAACCAGCTGGCTACACCCAGGCCACAAATATTTCCTAGAGGTATGACATGTAGACTACATAAATACACTTAAAGAATATTTTTCAAAGTTGTAAATAAAACAAGAAAATATTGCAATGTGTTTTACAAGAAAAAAGGATATTATTTCAGTCTTTCTACTTCGAAATGTTGACGTTTAATTCAGTGGGTTACTTGCGGTTTCTTTGTAACTATCTGGGAAATTCACTTGCAATTTCTGAGTGAAAACTGTTTACAATCTGAACAATATTCTACTACTATTTACTTTATAAAATATCTGAAATAAGACGATTGAGGACTGTGTTGCAGGTTCTAGCCACTGACCTGGAATCAGGAGACATTGTTAAAGCTTTATTGCATGTGGAAGCTCTTCAGAAAGGCCATCCAGGTACTAGAAGATCTTCAGGCTCTCTGGATTATATCTTAATTAGGAATATACAAATATACATAAAATGTGTGCAACAGTCTAGAGATGAGTGCTGCTGTTTGTCTGTGCAAAGCACTACTGATTAAGATTTTCTTAAACTTTTAACCAGTAGTGTATATTAATAAATTATAACAATAAACAATACATGACAAAACATAAAATAAATAATAAACAAATGTATAATTGAAGTTCCACAAGGTCCTTTGGGGGCGGGGCATGTGTATAGTGGCGGGACGGTGGGCGTGTCAGGGGTGTGTCTGATCCTGCTGGCCATTACCTTATTTACACTGGTCTGGTGCATTCGGATGATCAGAGAGAAGCAGGATCATGTCATTTGGACCAACGTGGCTGACAGCAGACACCCTAATGTGGTAAGACACGATATATTCATGAAACCTGCAAAAAGGACATGTTAAACTCTGCATATGTGCTGAAAATATCCATATGTTCCAAACGAATTTCATCCAAAGCATAAGAAACAGAACAGTGTGCAACAACTTCAGTTTTGAACTTTCTAAACTATTGTTTAAAAATTTGGGGTGTGAAGATTTTTTTATGTTTCTGTCAGAAATACAGTAAAAACAGTAATATTGTGAAATATTAAATTACTAAATTTTAAATTAATGTTTCTAATTTGAATAGATTTTAAAATGTAACATTCCTGTGATGTAAAGCTGAATTCTCAGCATCATTACTCCAGTC